ACCAAACTGAGCATGTGCAGCTTGCCCCCAAAGCTCTGTTCTATCAGCAGATGGATTGGGGACTGTGGAAGAAGGGGAGGATCAGAGAAGACAGGAACAAACATCCTTTTTATACAATGCAGAGGATTAACCCCATAGGTTCCACAGTGAGTATAACAAGCATAGTTTGCTGCATATACAGACTGATTTTACTGTTGTGGGTTTAGTAACACTTTAAGGTAAATCTCAGTAGGTGATATAAGTACTGTAGGTGGTTGTAAAAAAGTAATTGTAGTTTATTTGTAAAGTTGTTAAAAAAGAAGTGTTGATTACTGGATATGGATGAGGTTTGGGTTTACCACTACCATGGGACTGTAGTGAATCCTACTTGTTAGCAGATTGCAGACCCAGAAAAATACTGCAGGGATTCACCATAGTAACTGTATTGCATTGTCTGGCCCTTGAACTTAGGTCAGTAGGCTTAGAAAGTCCTATAATGAGGCTTTTGGAGAATCCAGCTTCCTTACTGTGAAAGGTTGAGGTAATAGCAGTCATGACAGTCTGCTTTAGCTGTGATAGAGAAAACTGAGGGAGTGCTGATGATGAAGCTAAGAATTAACTAAGAGATTAGTATAGGGCTGGTAAACAATGGAAGATCTTTTACAATTAGATGTAAACCCTTTCTGAATGTCCAGTAGCTAGCAAAATGATGTGTATCTTGGAGAATTTGGTGGTGTGGGGAGGGTTCCTACGTTTTTTATTCTTAGATAAATCCTAATACTGCTAGCGTAGGCAGGGTTTTTTTTACGGCCTGTCTCTGTCCACATGCACTATAGTGATAACAGGTAGCATGTATATTTTCACAGGGCATATTTCCTAATTGTTGCCAGCTACAATTGTTTTATCACATTTTTTTTTAAGTGAACTGTAGCCCTTCCAGTTGATTAAATAAAGGAGCCTACTCCTTGATAATTTGGAATCCAACATTTGGTTGACTTCATACTGAATACAAGAATCCAGGTTATTGATTTTAGGAGAATAATGAGGAGATAAACAAGAGAACTGGTTGACGACCAGAGGTCTCAAAGGGAGACATAGAAAGTGTAGAGAATCTTTAGTTGACTGGGCAGGTGGAGTTTGAAGGTGACTGAATTCACTTAATGAAAGATTGAAAAGGGCCTAATGAAACATGGGAAAATTTCATTAAGAGTACTTGAAGGTGAATACTCCTGGTAGAGGGCCAAACCCTGTCACTGGGTAGTAATTTGGGAGTCATATGACTTTGATCATCCCCAGCTGTTTAGTACCTGGAAACTGACAAATGTAGATTCCTGTTGACCTCTGCCCAGATGAAATTTAGCATTTTTTAGGTTTTGGCATCAGCTGATATGAGAAAATAGACAGTAATAGTAAAGAATAATGAAGAATGGTGGCCAAAACTAACATGGAAAGGGGATTTCTTGGTATGGGCATTGGAGTGACTGTTGAGCACACATTACGCCAAGGGAAAGAGGTCAACTTAATCATTGTAATGAGCTGAGATATAAGTATGGGCTTTTCAAAAATAAGCCATAAACTGTACTCCTCTGCCAGAGACTACTCACAAGTGAATACCATTGAGAAAAAACATTTCCTTGATGAAAATTAAGGCAAAAGTTGGGGCTGAAAGCAAGCCTGAAAGGGAAATCAAATGACATACAGGTGAAACTCGAAAAATTAGAATATCGTGCAAAAGTTCATTTATTTCCGTAATGCAACTTAAAAGGTGAAACTAATATATGAGATAGACTCATTACATGCAAAGCAAGATAGGTCAAGCCGTGATTTGTCATAATTGTGATGATTATGGCTTGCGGCTCATGAAAACCCCAAATCCACAATCTCAGAAAATTAGAATATTACATGCAATCAATAAAACAAGGATTGTACATAGAACAATATAGGACCTCTGAAAAATAAAAGCAAGCATATGTACTCAGTACTTGGTTTGGGCCCCTTTTGCAGCAATTACTGCCTCAATGCAGTGTGTCATGGAAGCTATCAGCCTGTGGCACTGCTGAGGTGTTATGGAAGACCAGGATGCTTCAATAGCGGCCTTCAGCTCTTCTGCATTGTTCGGTCTCATGTCTCATCTTTCTCTTGGCAATGCCCCATAGATTCTCTATGGGGTTCAGGTCAGGCGAGTTTGCTGGCCAATCAAGCACAGTAATCCCACGGTCATTGAACCAGGTTTTGGTGCTTTTGGCAGTGTGGGCAGGTGCCAAGTCCTACTGGAAAATGAAGTCAGCATCCCCATAAAGCTCATCTGCGGAAGGAAGCATGAAGTGCTCCAAAATCTCCTGGTAGACAGCTGCATTGACCCTGGACTTAATGAAGCACAGTGGACCAACACCAGCAGATGACATGGCTCCCCAAATCAACACAGACTGTGGAAACTTCACACTGGACTTCAAGCATCTTGCAGTGTGTGCCTCTCCATTCTTCCTCCATACTCTGGGTTCTTGGTTTCCAAATGAGATGCAAAAGTTGCTCTCATCAGAAAAGAGGTCTTTGGACCACTGAGCAACAGACCAGGTCTGTTTTTCTTTAGCCCAGGTAAGACGCTTCTGACGTTGTTTGTTGTTCAGGAGCGGCTTGACAATAGGAATAAGACATTTGAAGCCCATGTCCAGGATCCGTCTGTGTGTGGGTGGTTCTTGATGCACTGACTCCAGCCTCAGTCCACTCCTTGTGAAAGTCCCCAACACTTTTGAATGGCCTTTTCTTGACAATCCTCTCCAGGCTGCGGTCATCCCTGCTGCTTGTGCATCTTTTTCTTCCACTCTTTTACCTTCCACATAACTTTCTATTAATGTGCTTTGATACAGCAACATCCAACTTCTTTTGCAATTACCTTTTGAGGCTTTCCCTCCTTATGGAGGGTGTCAATGATGGTTTTCTGCACAACTGTCAGGCCAGCAGTCTTTTCCATGATTGTGATTCCTACTGAACCAGACTGAGAGACCATTTAAAGGCTCAGGAACCCTTTGCAGGTGTTATGGCTTAATTAGCTGATTAGAGTGGGGACACTTTGAGCCTAGAATATTGCCTTTTCACAATATTCTAATTTTCTGAGATTGTGGATTTGGAGTTTTCATGAGCTGTAAGTCATAATCATCACAATTATGACAAATCATGTCTTGAACTATCTTGCTTTGCATGTAATGAGTCTGTCTTGTATATTAGTTTCACCTTTTAATTTGCATTACTGAAATAAATTAACTTTTGCACGATATTCTAATTTTTTGAGTTTCACCTGTACATGTAGAGTAAACTTATCCAACACTATCCAGATGACAGTGGCATAAGATCAAAGAGAAACCTAATGGATATACAGTATCAAGGTACATCTGGGACAGGCAGGGTAGAAGCAGGTCAGCTGGAGGAGAAGTTGTAGACTTGTACTGTAGGAAAACTGGAGGGGGAAAAAAAATCCCAGCTCCCCAGAGCCTCCAATAGTGCCTTAATCAAATTGGAGGAAGAAGAGGTAAAGGAGGAAGGGATGGAGGAGTGGAAGAAGGAAGAGGTCTTTTTTTAGGCGTGCTGTCAAATTGTTTTTGGGTGGGGGACAGTCCTTATTTGTAAAAGGCCAGGCAACATAAGGCCATAGGATTCAATATTTTTTGCTGCTATCTTCCCTTCCCCCTGGCCATAGAATTTTCCCACTCTTTTTGCTGCTGCCTGTCCTTCCCCCTGTGTTGTGGAAGTGTGGGCAGCCTATGACCATAAGTTTCTATATGCATCGATGCTTCCAGTGCCGTGACTACAATGTAATAAATGACAAAAAAATAACACTGGCTGCTGGGTGCCTAGTAGGAGAGAGATTATAATGGCAAAACAGAATTGTAGATGTGTCTGGCTTATGCCATGTGCAGCCCAACCACTTCATCAATACCAAAAAACACAGAAAAAATATTGAAAAAATTACATAATACAAAAAAGTGGAATCTGCCACTCTGAGGCAACCCAGGTGAGGAACCAAACCAAGCTTTTTATGTGCTGCCCAGCTACTAATCAATATTTGTGGCTATTATCTTTTAGATAATACCCTCTTATTTCTAATACAAGAACCTGCCTTATCCCTTTCTATTTGCTGTCCATTTAACACCTTCCTGCCTGGCCTATAGCAGATTGAGGGCTGGGTGGGACACTCTCCGTTGTGACTGGGCATCACATGACGTCCTGTCAAAATGAGACACTCACACGGCCGCAGGGTCAAGTTTTACACACACTCTCAGCTGATCACTTCTGTGGTCACAATACCACTCTCTCTGCCCAGTGCCTGTTTCTACATCATGTCTCATCCGCCCTCCAGGTCACGCTCCATTAGCTTTTTCCACAGCCACAGCAGTCAGGGAAAGTAACAGCTGGAGCCGGGAAGTGACATTTTACACATTGCTTCTGAGTTCTTGGTAGATGTTTGCTGGTTTCCCTCCTCTCTACTCGGTGGCACCTGCCAGTCCTGGGTTTGCCAAAACATGGTGGGGAGGAAGAGACAACCGTACTGGGAGTTCTTGGAAGCAATCCATCTGATCAGCTGATATCTCAGAGCTTACGTATCAGTGCTGCTGACATATGACATACAATGTTTTCAGCAAAAAGGTAATAATTGGTTGCTGGCTTAGAGGCAAAATCATTAATTTGCTATTTCCCCAAACTCTACATTGACCTGAACTCGAATCTCATCCCTAACCGTTACACTAGTACAGTCAATTACGTTCTATATATGTTAGATTATTACTTTGGTCTAAATTGGCATTGATGATCATAGTATGTAAAGATAATTACGCACTTGTCTTAGAAAAGTTTAGCCATGCGAAGGTAAGCTTATCAGTCTCCATCTAGCATTGATCTTGTTATGTTAAAACGTGTATACGGTACTCTTTCCAGTATATAAATATTTACAGAGTAGATGGAGCCGAACATTTTTCTTTTAGTTTTTTCGAAAGGGTTAAAACTCCTATCTGGTTTTTTTTCTATCTTGTCCCACTGGAGAGATTTCCTTTCACTTCCTGTGCAAGAGACACAATGGGAAATGAAAGGAAATCTCTTCAAAGTGAGGGAGATTCCTATCTTAGACAGTTGACACCCAAACATTTGTGCCTATTAGTTGATTCATTCTTATCTCCTGCTCTGGTGACAATTAAAACAAAAAGCTTGCCCAGTAAGGGCACAGACAGTAATAAAAACCTGATAGAGGGCTTAACCCTTCATCACTCTGATCAAAACTAAAAAAGTTTTGCCTTTACATATACTTGAAGCCATTATTGTTCTTGCTGTGCTAGTTTCTGAAACAATTTGATATAGCTTTTCTCCTATGCTTTTATATATTTCTTACTTTCTTCTATATCTTGAACTGATGTAACATAATATGTGCTCATGTATTATCTTTGTAAGGTTTTTATTCTTATCAGAATCAAGTAAATACTGTCTAGTGTGCTTCAACTGAGATATAAAATATGTATCACCTACCGCCTGTCTAGTCAAAGACATTCTTGTGTATGTCTTTCGCTGTGGGCAATGCATTTAGTAAACAAAACATGCTCTTGAGGAAGCAAAGCTTTTCTAGTATATGCGTCTTGATAACTCTGCTAAGACACTAAACTAAATGTCAAAAAACCCGAGGCAGTGATACATTCTGGCTCACCACTTACTCAATTTACAGCAATAAAAGATTTTATGTAAAGTCCTCTGGCACTGTGACAGATCCCTTTTCAGCTTGGAGAGACCAGTATACTGAAAATACTCTCATAAATTCTGCCAAGACTATAAGTGGCATGTGAATCTGTATACAATCAGATTTCTTGAGTTCCAACTGAGTACAAAATTAATGTAACCAGAAGTGGTCTTGCGAGACAGGCACCAAAATTTTACCCCTGGTAACCCCATGAAAAGAAAAAACTTCTGTTAAACTTCCAAATCAGGAAAATGCAACTTTTTACACTTTGTTTAGCTACAGTAAACACTCTATATGTTTTAAAATTAAAATGAGATACAAATTACTAAACTAAGATATTAAACATTTTTGTGAAATTACAGGTTTTTCCAAAGTAACAATTTAAAGAAGAACCAGATATTTAAAAAAAAATAATTGAGAAAAATCTCTAAGTATTTTTGAAGGTCATTTATTATTAAGGCAAGAGAAAATGTTAATGCAATGGGGAAAGTTGATGTTCTGTTCCTTCCTAGACCTTTTTTACTTCCAGTATTTTCTCTGTGTCTCTGGAAAACAGTGTTCCACAATGGTAACATATGCAATGGAAGCGTTTTACTGTACAGAAGCTGGTGCAGCTCTGTATAGAAGCAAGTTTCCTGGTTTTATTTTGTAAAGTGTAATTGTACAAGCTGAATTAGAAGCTTATTGGTTACCATGCACAGCTGCACCAGATTCTGAGTGCTCCAGTTTTAGTAAATCTCTCCCAATGCGTTTGTTTTCCAGTGGTTTATACTTTTTAACAGAAGCATCTTATTTTGTGTCATAATATGGACACAGTAGGATATATGTAAGCTGCTGGCCATTGAGATTTCCATAGGTTTTCAATGACAAGAGACAACTGAATATTATATTTGATGAAGTCTATAAGAAAATGCTGTGAATTAACAGAGAGGGCTTTCAGAGGTTTAAGTGGTTGTAAAGACTCATTCTATGCATGAAGGTAATAAAAGTCTGTGCTTAACAGCCCTCTCACTATGCATAATACTTACCTGAGCCCTATCTTGCTTCAGCCATGTGCATGAGAGCCCGGCTCTCCTGGGACTCTCCCTCCTCATTGCCTGAGACAATGGCTCCTGCTGCTGTCAAGCACAGCCAGTGAGCCAATGAGGAGAGAGAAGAGGAATGGACACGCAAAGCGGCAGCTTGGGAGCAAGCCTGCTTGGGTGCTTCCATAGAAAGGTACTTGCTCTGGGGGCACTTGGCAGGAGGGAGGGGCCAGGAGCAAAGGCAGGGGACCAGAGAAGAGGAGGATGGGGGCTTCTCTGTGCAAAACCAATGCACAGAGCAGGTAAGTACAACGTATCACTTTAAACAAGCACCACAAAGACCTGTAACCTCACTCAAAATGTCATATCATGCACAGCATTTATTTGCCAGTGCCTTACTCTGGCCAGTTACTTGCCATTAGTAGACCCAGGAAAAGCAACATTTTGGGTAGTTTACCAAAGTCTTCTTGTGCATTTTTGCTAACTACATCTAGACCCAGTGTAGAAAAAAAATAGGTAAAGGTTAAGGATGAGTTACTTAAGTGTTTACATGTGATATGTTGTACCTAGATATGAATAACAATTCCATGAAGTTGGGAAGAGCAATTCTTCAGCAGGAACATCTTCCATTCTATCAACAGGCAGTTTTTGTATCATAACCACCAGCACATCATGTGGCCTGTCATCCCACATAACTAATAATTTCCTCAGGCAGTATGAGCAATTTGAAAGCATTTTAGGAGAAATTTGAAGGTGAAAAGATATCAGATAGAAGGCTTGTAGGTATATTGTAATTGTGTATTTGTTTTTCTTTATTCTTGCCTCCTTTCTTAAATGGTTTCATTCTTCCTGTGTATTAAGAGTTTTTCAAGTTTTGATTTTACTTGTTTATTTTCTTACATGTCATATGTGAACCCAACAAGTACATATGTATCTTGCTTTTTTAAAGAGATACTGTGTATGAGGTTTTATCTTAGCTGCTAATTCTGAAAAACTGAGATGCTATTTTACATTAGGGATGTAACAACTTTGCATTAACAAGCAAGGTCTTGCAGCACTTTCTAGGCATATAATACATAATTCTGGCATTGAAAGTAATGGGACTTCAGTAGGTAAGATCCTCAGAAGAACCACAGATGCTGCAGACAATTTAACTTTTTCTTTTCAGGATCTATCTATCTATCTGTCTGCCTGCCTGTCTATCATGCAGCCAACTACCAGGGGCGGACTGACAACTCATGGGGCCCCCGGGCAATAGGGGATCATGGGGCCCCTGTGTCCTTGCCCAAACTCAAAAAAGCCTATGAAAAAGGTACCAGGGGCATCTCATGGGGCCCCCTACTGGCCCCGGGCCCACGGGCAGTGCCCGAATTTCCAAATGGTCAGTCCGCCCCTGCCAACTACTAATCATACAATGCATAGCCTATCTTATCCCACTCACCCATTATATTGAGTAATTACGGCTCACTTTCTCTAGGATCCTACACCTAGAACCAAACTGTTAGTAGAGTAGCTTGACATACTTTCCTGGTTCATTCTAGGTATATGATATATGGTGGGCAAAATGTCTCATTCAGCTTCTCTGCCCCCAGTCTCCGCAAGCTATGTGTGGCTATAACTGCTCTGTCTCAAACATCACTATATAAGGCATACCTCCTAAGACCCAGTCTGAAAGAACATTATGTCTTTTAGCTAAGTCAACAAGATCCAAAGTCAGTATCAGCTCACCAAGAATACACAGAAGCAGGGGCATTGCTAGGATTTTAAAAGAACTGGGGCACCTTTGGGTACCCTAATGAAAGGAATAACATGGTATACACCGTGTACCATGCTAAACAGTGGGTGTGGCCAATTTACATGAATAGTAGGAGGGGTTTAAAGGGGCCTAGTTTAATAAGACCCAAGCCTTCTTGTACTTATTGAATATACTATTATTATACTATTTATTTAGTACAGGTACTTATATAGCACTGTCAATTTACGCAGTGCTTTACATATATAGTACATTCACATCAGTCCCTAACCTTCGAGGAGTGTACAATCAAAAGTCCCTAACTCACATTCATACATACACATATTAGGGCCAATTTAGACAGGATCCAATTAACCTACCAACATGTCTTTGGAGTGTGGGAGGAAACTGGAGTACCTGGAGGAAACCCATACAGACAGGGAGAACATGCAAACTCCAGGCAGGTGGTGCCGTGGTTGGGATTCGAACCAACGACTCTAGTACTGCCAGTTGGAAGTGCTAACCATTTAGCCACTGTGCTGCCCACTTTTATTGCTGTTCCATTGTTCTCTTACAAGCAATTGTCTGATAGACATGTATAAACCACAGCACAATATTTTTTTAAATAAACTTCTATTAATAAAATAAAAAATTAAAAATGATAGTCAGGAACTGCTTGGCAGCCAGCAACTGCTGAGACTATGAACACTTTGGTTAGAAGTATGTTATGTACAATTATTGGATATATTGCAGGAATCTGTAAGGCACTAAGAGCAACGATCAGGATTGTGTAATGCACAAGTGTAGGGGGCAAGAATACCTAATGCACAGACTTATGGGGCCAGGAGTATGCAATACACTAAGTGCAGAGGTCAGGAGCATGTAATGCACAAAATGCAGGTGTCAGGTGTGTGTTACTCTTGGTGTAAAGTGGATTGTTTAAAGTACAGGGATCAGGAGGATGAAGATCACATATACTATATTGCCAAAAGTATTGGCACACCCCTCCAAATCATTGGATTCAGGTGTTCCAATCACCTCCACGGCCACAGGTGTATAAAACCAAGCACCTAGGCATGAAGTCTGCTTCTACAAACATTTGTGAAAGAATGGGTCACTCTCAGGAGCTCAGTGAATTCAAACATAGGTTGCCACCTTTGCAATAAGTTCATCCATGAAATTTCCTTGCTACCAAATATTTCACAGTCAACTGTTAGTGGTATTATAGCAAAGTGGAAGCAACTGGGAACAACATCAAGTCAGCCACGAAGTGGTAGGCCACGTAAAATGACAGAGTGGGGTCAGCGCATGCTGAAGCGCACATTGCGAAGAAGTCGCCAACTGCCTGCAGAGTCAATAGCCAGTAGACAGTGGTGTAAAGCATGCCACCACTGGACTCAGAGCAGTGGACACAAGTCACGCTTCTCTGTCTGGCAATTCAATGGACATGTCTGGGTTTGGAGGTTGCCAGAAGAATGGTACTTGCCTGACTGCATTGTGCAAGGTGTAAAGTTTGGTGGAGGGAGATTATGGTGTGGGGTTGTTTTTCAGGGGTTGGGTTTGGCCCAGGGGCAGACTGACAACTCATGGGGCACCCGGGCAATAGGGGATCATGGGGCCCCTGTGTCCTTGCCCACACTCAAAAAAGTCTATAAAAAAGGTACCAGGGGCATTTCATGGGGCCCCCTACTGACCCCGGGCCCTCGGGCAGTGTCCGAGTGCTCAAATGGTCAGTCCGCCCCTGGTTTGGCCCCTTAGTTCCAGTGAAGGGAGCTCATCAGGCGCCAGCATACCAAGACATTTTGGACAATTTCATGTTCCCAACTTTGTTGGAACAGTTTGGGGATGGCCACTTCCTGTTCTAACATGACTGCACATCAGTGCACGAAGCAAGGTCCATAAAGACATGGAGGAGCGTGTCTGGGGTGGAGAAACTTAACTGGCCTGCAACCTGACAGAACACCTTGATGAATTAGAGTGGAGACAGTGAGTCAGGCCTTCTCGACCAACATCAGTGCCTGATCTCACAAATGCACTTCTGGAAGAATGGTCAAACATTCCCATAGTACTACAAAATCTGTAAAAACGCCCTGGAGGAGGGGCAAAATGCGTTGAAGCACTTCTGGCTTTTCCGTCCAATGTACCACGTCACTCCAGTGAGTGGAGCGAACGCCGGTGTGCTGTGCTCCGGGGGCCATCTAGCTTGATGGAGTAACTACTATACATGCTGGCAGCCGATACTGACTGTGAGATCTTTACCCTGGTTATGTGGCGGTTTGGCTCCAGATAAATTAATAAAAGGCTGGTTACATTCTTTTACAATGTGAGTGGTTTGATATTTGGATTCATCTTATCTGGGTCCTGCAGTATTACACTATATTTGTTTTTTTTCTCTACACAAATACTGACCTATATGGAGAGGGATTTCTGCTTGTCCTGGAGATTGGAGGCTGATTTGAGTTCTACTGTGGATCCCTGATGTATTTGATTTTATAATATAAAGGCTTTCCATTTACCTATTTCTGGTGTGTGCGGTGTGTGTGAATAACACAACGAGTGTGAACACTGGTCAAGGTCTCTTGTTTTTGGGAGAAGATTGTATCTGATCAAGTAGATTGAATTCTACCTACTTTTGAAGTGGGACTATCAAACATTCCCATAGACACACTTCTAAATCTTGTGGACAGCCTTCCCAGAAGAGTTGAAGCTGCAAATGGTGGGCCAACTCAATATTGAACCCTACGGACTAAGACTGGGATGCCATTAAAGTTCATGTGCGTGTAAAGGCAGGCAAAATAGTGTAACTGTAGAGGTCAGGCACACAAAACAAGCAGAAGTCAGGGATATGTAACACACAGAGAGGTCAGGAGAATGCAAAATATTTTATTCCACTATCCACCTTGGAAAAAAAAAAATCCACATCCCAAACAAATCCAGCACTAATCACACACATAATCACAATAAATCACCCGAGCCAAAAATTCTCACTGTAAGCAAAAACTCTCCCCAAACAAAAATGAAAAAAATCCTCTTTTTTTTCTAGTATAAATATAAATCCTGTGCGGAACCCTCCCCCCAACACAATTTTTTGTCCCCCCCCCCCCCCCCCCCAAAAAAAATACCCCTCCAGTACAAATCTTTGTTCCCACATAAAACTATCTCCCAGCATCAGGGGCAGACTGACAACTCATGGGGCCCCCGGGCAATAAGGGTTCATGGGGTCCCTGTGTCCTTGCCCAAACTAAAAAAAGCCTATGAAAAAGGTACCAGGGGCATCTCATGGGGCCACCTACTGACCCCGGGCCCTCGGGCAGTGCCCGAGTTTCCAAATGATCAGTCCGCCCCTGCCCAGCATAAATCTTCTTCCCCTTCACAAAAAAATGTCCCTTACTAGTACAAATGATGTTCCCTCAAAAAAAAATCCCCTCCCAGCACAAATCCTTCCGCCCCCCAAACCCCCCTTCAAGCAGAAATGTATTGATTTCTCTTTTCCAAATTCTGCCCTCCCAGCACAAACCATATCCCTTCCTACATGCCCACACCCAGGAAAATTTACATCCCCCCAAAATCACACCTCTCTGCACAAATGATGTCCCCCCCCTCAGCAAAATCCCCCCTCCCAGAACAAATCCTCTCCCCCTGCTGCTATGGTGGATGATCTCGGTGCCTTGGACCAGGGGCATCCTACAGGAGATGCAGGGCACGTGCCTTGTGTGTCCAGTGCTAGAGACACCCCTGCTGAGAAGTAGAATACAATTTAATTCATTCCACTTAACTTCCAAGAGAATGTAATTCTTGTGTAGTGAAGCACTATTTCTCTAGAAATCCTTTTTATTTAGCGAGAACAGAACCTACTACATATCTACATGTAGTTTACTAAAGGAGTACTGGTGTGGTGACTGCAGCACTTGGTCGTGACCCTCCCACAGCCACTGACATATTAGCTACTTTAGTTTGCACAGCACTGACAGCCCCAAGCTCAGCCCACATACACTTTCACCATCATGTATTTTCCATTGAATCATTGGAGATGTAGTTCTTGATCCCTTTGTAGAATGGAATGTGGGGCTCCAGCATTGATCACCAAGCCCCCCCCCCCCCGGTGATTGGGAACAGCACAGTTTTCATGCAGAGATAATATTCTAAAAGTTCTGGAGTTCAGCTTTAAATACATAAATGTAAAAGCAATAATCCAACTGGTAAAAGAATTGTGTAACATGGTTTGTGCTATAATTAGCTGCAAGCGCTTCTTTCCTTCTTGGTCACGTAGACGTATTCACGTAGTTATCAAGCAATAACTGGGAAAAGCAAAAGATACATAACCCTCTAGCCTTTGGAGTGTATTTCATTTGCTTTCATTATATTGTGATAGCGGGCTTTCCTGGAAGCCCTGTAGTGTAGGCGTTGTGACTGACGCAAGCAGGACCTGCAAGGTATTCCTTACTCTTCCCACACAGATGCTGAACGTCACTAGGGATCTCCCTCTTTTAGCTCAGTGTAGTTATTCATCTTTTGTAGGGCATAGATGAAAGATTGAATTATTTAAAGCTGGGAAATTGAGCATGTATTGTGCTACTGATACAAAAAATGATGTTTACGACAGAATCTGAGCGTACAACGTAAATGATGAGCAATGACTAGTGTCCTCCTGCGTAGGTATACTGCACAGCTTTCAGCTACAGAATTAAATAACAATAGTGACAGATATTTTCAGCATGACAGGGACATTAAGGTGTCCTTCAGAAAGAATCCAAAGCCTTTCACAAAGGTTCACAGCGAGTACATTTTAATAGACTGCACTGGAGATGTTATTATTAAGGACTCGGTGTTCTGATAACAATACCAACCTGGAGGGAAATAGAAAGTGGAAGAATAGGCTCTTATGCACCTCAATTTGTCACATTTTTGTTAATAGATTCATGTTACTAGAGGACTACTTCACAGTACATTAGATCAAAGGTTTTATATTTTATTTTATGAATTCACGCTGCTACAGAATAAATCTAACAGACGCTGTTTATCTTGATTAAAGCTACCTCCATGACATTGTACAACATTGCACATCGTATTTTTCTCACATTTAGTTAATTGGTCCAGGTATTTTTGATATGTCAAATTATAATTAAATAAAAGTTTTCTGATATATACTTTATATTTATTGAATCAAATAATGTACAGGGGCTGTATATGTATGTTTGTATTCAAACTACATTCATCATTCTGGATTTCGACATTCAACAGTACCAGCAGCATGGTAGAAGTTGAGAGTCTCATCTTGTTTCTTACGTAAGTAACCACTAACCAGTGACATTGATGATCATTTTAGCTGTCCGCAAGAGAGTCATTCATCGCTTTGACCCCCAGTGTAAGGAGGCAATTTTTGTCAGCCTAAAGGTGCCTTGAATAGCAAAGAATATAAAGGCCCAGGTAGCTGGAACACATACAGCATTCCAGGAATGGAGTTCCTGACACTAAATTCAAATAGCATAGGGAGCATAGAAGCTATTACGGAGATCTGGGTTTGGGCTTCTATCTACCAAGCAGACAACCTGTAAATGCCTGCTGCCTCTCTGCTTTGCTGGGCCCAAAAGAGTTATATTTACAGAATGAATGGTATAGAGCTTTCATGTTATACTGACTAGAGCCCCTTCAGAAATTATTGTTCTTAGATAGCTTGATCCTGAGACACAGATAGGAGTGGATCTGCTGCTCTGTCAATTATTGGTATCAGCTTACCCAAGTGCCAAAGCTTATTCCCTTGGCACAGATGACTCCTGGCCCTTTAAGGGGTTTCAGATGTCTGGAGCCTGGGTGGGGTTGATTATCATGTGGCCGCCGTGATTGGCTGTTACAGCGGTCACGTGATTGGAAAGCTTCCAATTGCAAGTAGCAATTGAGAGTTTTCCGTTAGCCACCCATAACTGTGCCGGAAGCATGCAGGGCGCACACTCTAGAGACAGCTGCATTTACATTGTGGTATGCATAAATGCAGCCTCTCTGCATTAAGACCGACCTGCCAAGAGGCCTTATATATACGTACTGTCGGCTCCAAGAAGTACCCTGTCTTTGTGAAGTATCATTGGGAGTAGATTTAAAGTGGAAGGAAAGGCTTGCAGTAATACATGTTCCAACAGTCATATATCCCAATATTATCATATCTTTATAGTTAAGATTTTAAATATATGTTGTTTTCTACATTTTTGGGGTTAAAATTCACTGATGTGACTTGACCGCAACGCTTATAGCTTTTTGCATGCAGTGTGGCTGTTGGGCATCTCCACAGGCTCCTCTTGTTGTCATTTTTAGACGTGGCCTACCTATC